ATAGGGCAGAAGAATCTTTTTGCCTCTTCGAAGAACCTATTTTTATGAAGTCCTTGGGAGAAAACTGCATTAGGCACACCTTCAATGGTCAGGTTCACCTTATCAATGTTTGGGTAAATATATTCTTCACTATCAGTTCTCACTCTATTGGTAAATAAGAGGACAATTGCTGACATGCTCTTCCTGGGGATATTAATGTTTTCATTGACAATGGTAAGATCTTTGTCCCAATTACTTGTACGCATAAGAGTGACGTGTTTGTAGGACAGTGAGCGGCCTGTTGAATACATCCTTGATACTTCACTTGCAAGGGCGTCATTCTCAATGGTCTCATATTCTAACTCGAGGTTATCAAGTTTATAATTACCCTTAGCTTCACCTCCTTGGGCAGTCATAATTTCATCTGATTGTGGGAGTGTGAGGATGTACATAGGATTGTTATTCATGGAGAACGGTGTGTAAAGTCCATGGTCTGCAATTATTTTATCAATTGGTTTTTTCAGCTTAGAACCGTACACACTCTGGAGAAGTCCATCTGCTACTTTATTGGCATCACCAACTTTTACACCTGAGTCATCACCTGATATTAACTTCCTGAGATTCTCACTTGCGAGACCCTGTTCTGTCATCTTATTCCTGTCGCCTAGTGTTAGCCATAGATCTTTGTATATTTCGTACAAACTCTCTCCTGAACAGTCATAAGCTGTTTCACCTGCTACTTTAATCTGAAGACGTTTAGCTATTAACTTAGACAGGTTATTATTAAAGTGGCTTTTTGTATTGGAATTTTTGAAGTCAAATAATAGTGCAAGTGATCCTGGGACTAAACAAGAATCAGGCTTTAGCTTTGGGATGTTAATGTACAGCTCTTCACCTGGGCTGATAGTTGTTGGATTAAATGTTACAACACTTCTAGTTCTAGGCCCTTTTACGGATGTCATACGGCTCCTCCTGAAGCCAGGCTGGAGTTCTCTTTCTGTGGTATTCATACTTTATACAATATGTAATGTTTAGTTGTACTAGGCGTAGCCGCTACCAGCGTAGCTGGTATTTGTATAATAAAACTACTGCTGCACATATAATGATTATCCATATATTATCCGCTGCTAGCTCTACTCCATCAGCTATCTTCTGGAATACAGGTGGTAGTTCTATTTGGTTGTCCACCAACTGACTGATCCTCTTATCGAGCTTTTCTGTTGTGTCACCTACTTTCCATAATATGTTTCTAGTTGATGCTACCAGTCCTATGATTATAGCTGATGAGGAAATTATAACAGCTGATAAGATGCCTGCATTCTCCCTTGCCCATAACCTAAGCCTCTGCAGTCTCCTAAGATCATCCCGTTTAATGAGATCCCTCTTTTTTACCTTATCTCTTAAGTTGAGAAGTTTATTTAAGTTTGACTCTCTTTGGTAATCATTTGATAGCATTCTGATGTATCTCAGTTCTTCCGACTTTTCTTTGAAACTGTATTCGTCCAAATTGGATAGTATTAATTCATTTAACAGTCTGTCTCCCCTATCCATTAGATCATCGTATGACAGATTAGATAGGTCAGGGTATTTCTCAGCTAATTGTTCTCGTGTAAGGTCTTCACTTAACATTTTTCTTCTCCTTAGTTCCTGTATGTAATTAATTTCCTCGTCGATATCCTGGGTCTCCTCAGCAGTTTCACTTTCCATAAGATCCGTGACAAGGTACGGTAATTCGCTATCTAAAGTTTCTATATCCATTTCTTCGTAGTCGGGATACTTTTCCCTCAACTCCTCCATTTTCTGGTCATCATATTCCTCTTGATGTTCCTCCATAGCTAATTTACTTTGTGTAATAGTTGTATACCATTAAGGCTGCAGCAATAGCTAATACCCATAAGTGTGACGTTAACCAGGCAATTCCTTTGGCTCCCCACGATAGCGCTGTTGCAACTGCGTTTATGATTGGAACTAGAATTGGTCCTGCTTTCTTTGCTAAATTTGCTAGTGCTTTTGCTACTTTACCAGTGACCTTTGCTGTCTTCACAATGGCTCCCCTAGCATGGATCAATAAGGCTGTAATTAAACTAGCTGTTGACACTGCTATACCTACAAGTCCCACCTTTTCCTTTCCTACCCAGTCTATAAATCTACGTAATCTGGAAATGTCCTTTAGTTGTGCCTCTCTTGCTTCCTCTACAGTTCTCTGCTCTAGTGTCCTATCCCTAGCTTCCTTCAAACTGTCAATTCTTTCTATAAGGGAATTATACTCAGTTGTACCTTCCGCTGAGGTGGCCCGTTCCACGGTTTCACCAATAGCTTCATTAAAGTAGTCCGCTTGTATTTGCAATGCTCCATTGGGACCTGTTCTGCCTTTTATACTTGATCCATCAGCTGGGTTAAGTACTCCTCTCAGTTCATTGTTTTCTTGCATTGTTAACCCTGGAAGATCTCCTAATTTTGCACTTATATCTATTAACTCAATGTTCTCACGGTCAGCGTATTCCTCATCACTGTCATCAAATTGCGGCTCTTCTCTACTGTCCTCATAGACTGATTCCTCACTTGTAATTCTAGCGTCAGGATCCGTAGGGGCCTGCTTGATTTTCTTTAGAAGGTCCTTATATTCTCTCAGAGCAGGTGAGTCCTTTGAGGACACAGGTTTTCTGGTCTTACCACGTTTCATTATTTGTGTGCCACTTTTTTCAATACCTTGTTCACTTCTAAATACCAACACCTCTGTGCCATCCTTGAGTGTTCTTACAGATGATCGTTTGATGAGTTCTCTGACGTATTTATTTTTTGGGTCTAGTATTAGTCCCTCCTTATTTTTGATAACTCTTGCGACAGCTTGAACACGCTCCACCTGGTTTTTAAAATCACTCTTTTTACCTGCTGTTGAAATCTTATCTAGGCGGGCTTCTATTTCATCCCATCTAGTGTCAAATGATTCGTTGAATGCATCTAGAACATCTGGAAGTACATTGTTTGGGTCTTCTACGAAGTCGACTCCTGGGGCGGTTGTGCTTCCTGATGGACCTGAAATGTTTACTGTACCGTCACTTCCTTCGGTGAAAGTTGTTTCCTGCTCTTTAAGTTTTGCAATTTCCTGCAGGGATTCCCTAATTGAAGAAACTATTTCTCGTGACCTCATGAGACCCTTTACATAGTCCAGTTCACTTTTAAGATTGGTTATCACTATAGGATCACTACCATACATAGCCTCATCCTTCACCCTTGTATCTAACTCATTAAAGGCTGTCGATAGGTCATCATAATTGAGGTCATCATATTGAGGATAACTTTTTTCTACCTCCTCCAACTCAATATCATCGTGGTCATCGTAGTCCTCCATAATACTTTAACTTATGTTAGGGATTTGATGTCTCCAGCTGGTGTCCAACTGTTAAATTTGTCATCATAACCTAACCACTTAACTAGGGCCATCTTTTTACCCTTCACTGTTCTTCTTCTTAGTACTTTCTCTATTCTGAAA